CGCTCCTCCTCTTTCGATTGGTGAAAACCGCAGGTAGCTAGGTATTGCGGTTGTCGAGTTATTGAGCTTACACTCACCCCTCTTTTATTCTGGCGCGGACATTAGTTTAAGAAATAAACAAACGTTATATTCTACATATTCGAACCCATGATTTGCCCTTAAAACAAGTATAATAAAAGTAGAACATAACAGTAACGTTCGACTTTAACGTTAACTGTCTCATATTACCACATCATACTTACTTCTTATATTATCTGAAGAATTATGCTCCTGGTTCACATTTTACCACTTCAACTCCTAAGACCGTGATCTCAGAATTCGAAACATGAACGTTTCTTCTTCTAGCACGCTTCTGTCCTATTAAGTAGACTGGTGTCAGAAGCTTGGGATACATTTAATTACATCTGTCTTCATCATGACAATCAATTGAAAAACGGATCGATTTGTATGTCGAAAATACAAATCAATCTGTTGTTGTCAACTTTTGCTTTTTAGCAATCGACTAAGTCAATGTCATATAATGAATAAGTGTTCTTTTTCTAAATAAAAGTAACCCGTCGGCTTCATAGGCCTCGCTTCATTCAATTCTGAAAAACTGTATAAGGCTCTCAAAAATATTGACAGTTCTATATGGTACTGTGTGCAATAGACTGAAATTGATTCTTCAAAGATCAATCAGCTGAATTGCAATGTTTTTGTAATTCCACTTAAAGTTGAATGTCAATACAGTCGAGTCCATTTATAAGAGCTCCGGATAACGGAGCGATCCGCCTGTAAGAGCCGTTTGTAAATTTCCCGTTTTTTTCTCCATTGTTTTGTGTGCTGACAAAGTCCGCTTAAAAGAGCCTCGGATAAGGAAGCGGATTCGACTGTATTCACAACAGTATTACTACTCAAAGATACGTGAGACAGGTATTTAAATTGTCTAGTAACGACTGCAACTCGTATTAATATTTGATGATGCGATTGACAGACTTCTAATAGCGGTAGCTTGATACAGCTCGTTTGATACCTGAAAATGAAATAAAGACCTTGACACATTAGAAGGCCACTCTCTATTAGAAGATCTCTCCATAATAGAAGACTCCTCTTGAAAGAATAAAGCAGAAACTACATTAGAAGACCTCTTGGATGATTGATTTTAAAAAAATTTCTTTATTTTATTGTTGGTTTTTGCATACCTGAAATGCCTAAAGTCCAGTTTGGTATGTACAAAACCGTCTTGTTGTTGTTCTTAGCGATGTGTGACTGGTGAGTTTAACAACTGATAAAAAAAGCTTATTAAAAAGATTGATTAAAAAGTCAATTATACATTGATAATACATGCAGTAAAAAAGCTATAAATATCCGTTTCAACTGCTCTCTCAGGGATACATTTTGTGCTTTCCTCACGAAAAACTGCATTTTCTTAGTTATAGAAGATGATCATCATCATAGACACGCCCGAACATATCACTTAAAAAACAATTTTGATTAACTAACAACATACTTAGTAATACAGTATTTACCTTTCCTTATGAATATATTCGATCGATTAGGCGCTCTCTGTTGGGGAATCCAACACATTTCTAACTATAGTCCATCCAAAAAGTCTGCCCGTATACATATTTTTTGAAAAACTCGAGAACATATTGGGATAGAGATCTGCGGTTTTCACTATTCGAAAGACCAGTATCAGGAGTACTTATCTATGTAACAGTCACTAATTTTGAAGACCTTATTCATGACTGCTTTTAACCTGGTATTTTTTTCGTTGTCTTTTTTCATCAAATTTCATAAGAATTTCAACTCAGATTATACAAAAATATAGCCGAAACCACCTAAGAGTCGTGATAAAATTTTGAGTAGCTCTTTCGCTCTTTATCGTGAACACGATTTCTAAGAACATCATACTTTTTGTAGGAATATGGGTGTGTGGCTGTGAGCGTAGGTGTTCTTCACGCTATCATCGGAACCCGCTCCCACCGAGACGCACACCCACACCCTTACCGAGGCCAGAAACAGATGTTATGTGCACAATGTCAAGGTCCTCATTTATCACTCAGTATGGAATGTCCTATGGTTAACAAATTTAGACAAATATTAAAAGATGAAGTTAAACATGCAATTAATGAAGGATTAATACACCAAGTGCACATTAAGAAGAAGTCTGAAATATTGAACATGAAAACAACACAATATTCAGCTCAAGTATCAAATGTTGAAACATTATCAGCATGGAAAAGTGAAAGTGGTTCATCTTGTAATACTTCAAGCCAACTTGAACAAAAACAATTCGGTGAGGTAGTCAATCGTTTAAATGATGTTTTAGACATTACATGTCGAACCGAATGCAAAATTGACAAGCAAGTTACACGAACTGATCAATTAAAAATTAAAATCAGTATAATAAAACAAGGTTTAACAGATTTAACAAAAACAATGAAATCGACAATTACTGCCTTATTAGACAAGAAAAATAAACAACAATTAAATAAATTGTGTTGACAATTAGAGGAACTCAATGATCAATGTATGGAACATGTCGACATGGTTTCAAGTTCATTAGATCCTACGACAACAATATCATCTCCTAAACCAATGGTTGATAAAAAACACATTGAATCCGCATTAACTATTAATGAAAACAGTGGGCGGATTGAACAAAATCATTCGATAGCAATTACAGATGACCAGTAACCACTCTTCATCTACATTGAACATTAATGCTATTCCTTTTCATGCACTTCCGTTTTCCCCTGTCCCACATCCCTTGTTGATGTAAAAGCAGGGTTGCCAGATCAAAATCTTAGAAATCGGAATTTTTTTGCTTGAATTCGGAAAAATTCGGAAAAATATCTGGCTAATTCGGAAAAAAATTCAGAAAGTCGTTTTTAAGCTTTCACTGCCTGTAACCAAGATGAAAATTCTTTATCTAATGTCCAATTCTTTTTTAAAAACACCTTTCTTTTCTCTTTTTTTGGAATTTGAAATTGTTGTTGGTTGAATAGATTCTTGTTCTTCTACACTCACGGTCATACTAATAGACGAATCATCTGATTTATCATC